GTCCCTCGCATTCTGTGCCCTTCGTCGCTGCCTCCCATGCGTCAAAAGTGAAATTAAAGTACTGGAGAGCAGCAGGGCAGAGTTTGTCAAGAAAGGCAGGAGAATGGCAGAATAGATTCACAGTTTCCTGACGATAATGCTCGAGGAAACACAGAACCCATCGGCGACTTCAGAAAGGTTCTACGCCCCTCGAGGACCCCAGCCTCCCTCTCGACCAGGGCATCATCAGCCGCCTTCGCAAAATCAGCCTGCAGCTGGTCGACTTTGGAGAGGGCAGCGGCCTTCTCGGTTTTCAACTTGGCAATCAGAACATTGGCAGCCAAGAGGTCGTCATCTTTCTTCTCGAGCTCGGGAAGCAGATCCTGGTACTTCTTTTTGAAAGCACGGACGTTGGAATCAGGAGAACTTGTATCCTCGAGCAAGGAAGGCATAATAAATGCCATGAACTAAAAACCATGTAAGGACAATCAGAAAGGGTGAGAACTCAAGTAAGATTAATCGACTGAACTTAAAAATAACAAATTACCCGAGAGAAGCAAAGGAGAGCACGGCTGGCGCGGTCGTAAGGATCACGGTCGGCGCGAGCTTTATCAGCAGCAGGGATGATGGAGTCAAAGTACTTGGCAATCTCATGGGGATGAGGGTGGTCCCACAGTCGAGAAGGTCTCTCGAGGGTGACTGTCTCGAGTTGACCCGCCGAAGGAGCGGGCGCGGCGGCCTTGCCCTTGTCTTTCGTCTTCCGACGTTTGAGAGAATCGGGGACAAGGGTCACATCTGCCGAGTCCTGAGCCCGCTTCCGGGGAAGGGAGCTTGGAGCTTTCTTTTGACTCCCAGGAAAGGGGAGCATTACCTTCGATTTTCCTGCGGCAGTCGTCTCGACCGCCGCATCTTTCGCACCCGATACCAAGCCGCCGTCGGGATTTGCCGAGGAAGCAGGACGAGCAGCAGATTTCCCGTCGCCTTTTGTCTTCTCGAATCGTGCAAGAACGGAATCTACAGATAGGCATAAAAAATATTAGTCAATGGCGTAAACACTTAAAATAAAAATGCACGCAAGCCACTTACGAGGGTCGTCGAGATGAGGAAGATCCTCTTCAACAACGAGGCCGACATGATTGAGGAGGGACATCTCTTTGATCAGAGGCCGAGCCTTATAAGTATTTTTATTAAGTTCGGCTAACATCGACTCGAACATGGAGGACTGTTGCCATTTATTTTGTTTAACCTTGGAAGTGATCCAAGTGTTCGGATACGGATACGAGCCGGGAGCGGGTCGAATGAAAATGAATTTAGATTTCCATTTTGTCACGTTGGAAGAAAGGTCATCGAGAAAAGTGACACCGGCGCGACGACCCAGACAATGGGCGTCTTTTATGAATCTATAGCTATAACAGTAAAAGAGAAACTCGGGAGAGAAATATCGAAGCTTTATTTTGGAAACGACGATAAAGGCAATCATAATGCGAAGAGCATTAGGAGAGAACTGATTTATGGGAACATCATACAAATCGCTGATAGCGCGAAGTTCGGGTTGAATTGGGAAGCGGAGACCGAACAAAACTTGATCGATAAAGAACGTGTAGAAGCCAGGAGGAGGATGAGCGAAGTCGTCATTAGGACTAGGAACGATCAACTCCCAGTCGGATGGAAGGCCACTGTACACTTTAAAGCCCTCGACCTCGGCTGCAGAGGCATAACAAAAAGGATTTAAAATAGCCAGTTTGGCTAAAGGACATGCTACAGATACGGTATCTCGAGCCTCGAAAAGAGGCGCGATTATGGGTAAAGGACTAGTTCTATATACAGGTAAATCTAAAATCCTAAGGGGAATACCTTGGGGAATGAGGTCGAGACGAGGAGACTTATTAGTGCGTGAAGGCTCGGGATCTTCAGCCAAAACACCCGACATCCACGCTTGTCTATGAGCATCTTGGTCGATGCCGAAAGATGATACGTCTGAATGAGAATTCGGCGACTGATCAGCCGGTTTGAAGCCGACTATTTGCACTGAATCGGAGGATTGAGCGCCTGCATCGATTAGGCGTTCGACAGTGTCGGGCGAAGAGTCGGAATCAGAATCTAGAAAAAGAAACGAAAAAGAAGAGTCGAGATCAGTAAAGGTAACTTAGTACGAAGCGCGGAAGGGCATAATGAACAAAGAGTAAGTCGACTTGTGAAAGTCGACGTAAGTCGAGCCGAGGGAAAATTATGAAAGAGTGGCTCCGAAACAAAGGAAGCAGTGTGCGCCATGCGTCCTAATAGTAATGAACGAACAGAAGCGAAGAAGGACAAGAGCCAAGCCTAAGTCAACCGGAAAAGCATAGATCGACTCGATGCTAAGAGTCGACAGGAGACAAAGTCGGAATAAACAAAAAATCTAAAGGAAGGTCCAGGCAAAGAAGATCTAACGCAATTCGCGAAAAATCATTCAACTAACGCCTAGAACACCAGTTTTGGAACACAGAAAACCCAGAAAAATTCAGAAAGTTCACAGAAAACAAAGAAGAGCATAAGTTGAGAAATCGGAATACTTACACATGGTTGTTGTCGGAACTCTGGAGATCTGGAGTCGCCGGAGAAGAGAAGCGCCGGAGAGCAGAGAGCACGGAAAGCAAAGAAGAAGTTCGAGAAGGTTCAGAGAGCAAGAGTGCAGAAAAGTGATCTCTCGAAAAAGAGGAGAATACTTATAGAGGGAGCAAATGATTGTCAGCCGTTAGATCATGATCCGATCCGACGGTCCCTAGCGAAGCGCGGAATGCGAGGCGGCGGACTTAAAGTGATGTGATAAACTACAAATTTGAAATTCGAAATTTGAAAAGGTGTCAGGTTGTCAGAATTATCCAGAAGACAATGATAAGACCTCACTACAGCATCGAACGGCCATAAGGTTAGAGCTTCAATGTCGAGGAACGAAGAACGAGTAAAGTTAATAAAAGAAGTCGATCACCAAATTTACTCTTAAGCAGTCGACCGCTTAGAGTAATTTTTGGGGGGGGGGACTAGATGATATAGCCACACAAGGATAACCCGGTCTAAGAGGCCTCTTTCTCGACCGGTGAACCACTTGAACGACTCGCATGTCGACATGAGTCTGTCGACACGCTCAAATCGGCTTCCCTAAAGTCGATTCGATCACGAGCAATCAAGAAGAGGCAGAGATGGGTCTAGCCGACTCTTGCAAGTCGACCTTTGTCTATCGACTTTTACTAGTCGACATAAGGGGGAGAAAAACATCAGGAGCATAGCTCCCATTCATCAGGTACTCTAGGTCGACTTCTACTAGTCGACTCCACTATGACGACTCTCTGAAGACGACTCCGCCACAGAGGGTCAAACCAAACGTAGCCTCTGAAACCGCTCATATTCATAAGTCGACCTATCAGCTCTCGAGGTCGACTCTGTACATCTCGAGGATCAAAGCAAAGTGGAGACGATTCACTACACTTGCAACATATCCGAAGCTCAACCCACCATAGGAAGGATAAAAAGGAATCTTGTGATAACTCAGCAGTAAGGGGAGACGAATCGACCGGGGCATTTTGGACCTTCTAGGTCCACCGACATGGGCATTTTGGGCACTTCAAGTAAGTATCCACTCCTATATAAAGGAGGCGAGGTAATCCAAACCCTAACTCAAATTCTTTCACTCTTCCCCATAGCTGCTGCGCAGCCTCTCTTCATCACTCACATACTGACTTGAGCGTCGGAGGCTCTACGCCGGAAAAACCTCCGGCGTTGAGTTTTTGCAGGTATTCTCCCGGTCTAGCAATGGTTCGAAGGCGATTCAAACAGATCTGAGCTATTTACCACCGGTTCTCTTCAGATCTGGAAGTAGACTCATCATATACCACTTCTAAATTCTGAACCGCCTTCCTCGAGAGATCGACTCGGGAAACGAATCATTCGATTCGGTGCTCGGTAAAATAAAAATAATTTGCTACAACAGCTACAACCAAGAGAATCCGAATGGACTCAAGCATAGCTACTGGCAAAAAGGTCTCATCATAATCAATACCCTCGATCTGGGTATAACCATTTGCAACAAGCCTAGCTTTAAAGGTTTGCACCTTTCCATCTGATCCTCTCTTTCTCTTATAGATCCACTTACATCCAATGAGTCGTACCCCATCGGGTGGTTCTACAAAGTAATATATATTATATATATCTGCCTGTTTAATATCTTACGGGTTAAGAGAACGCAGTAATTAACCGAGGCCTAGTTCATTTACGACGATCAGTATAAAATGAACTTCTCCTCTCTGGAATCCTGTTCAATACATAAATGTACTAGTGCAACTAATCAGTTAAGACAAACTGTACAGTTGACACTACAACCGTTCGGATGGAGTGTTCATGTCCATCTTGGTTGTGAACAACTATTCTTGTTCGCAAGTGACTGATAGAGTGATCTTCGCCCGATGACGACCCACCCTATCTAAGTGCAGAATAACAGAACGTAGAACTTGTTTAATCTAACACGATTCTCATTTAGAAAGGGTAAATGTGTAATAACATGCAAAACCAAGCTTTCAGTATATAACACTAACAGGAAAAACGTAGTTTATGACGTCTTCAAAACATTTTCAAATGTCAAATTCTACTGCTACTAATTTTTGTAGGTTTGATGCTTAATCATAAAGATAGAAGCCTGAGGTATTGATATCCTAAAAACAAATAAGTACTTTTACAGCTAATACACTTATAAAATCACGACACTCTTTTCTTTTCTTTAAGTATATCAATTCTGTTGCACACACTACTAATTATCAGCTATTTTGGCTCATACAACATCACAATACTTCTAATACACACACTAAACATTAAAAGATTTATTAAATCAGGTAATAATATCAAAATCCAATAGTTTTTCTTTTTCAAGATTGAGCAAAAAATTCAAGCTAACCCAAATAAGCATCAAATAAAATACTCAGCAGTGCGCTGGTGAGGTCCAGTTGGGAGGGCCAAGAGCTTGCCCTGCGTAAACCCTTTGACTGGGTCGCCTATGGTTTGACAAAATCATAGAGGGGAAGGGTCTGCGGCTTCTTCTCCGTCTTGGTGGCAGCAACATCAGTGAGCAGCGGGAAATTCGACTGGAATAATCAAAACTACTGAAATTCGACTAAAATACTACACATCGAATACTACTGAAATTAATCAAAATTGGATAATCAAATTAATCAAAATTATGTGATCAAATCTTCCAGCATACAAGAATATTAATATTCATAGCTAATGCATAAATAAACAATTCCTCAAGGTATAATCACAACTAAAACCAATATGAACCCAATAACAACCAATAACCTAAACAACATCTTCATTAGCTGCAGCAGAATTAAAACTACATGTGCAACTTTGTAATTAATCATAAAAAATATATCTTTATAAAAGTTTACCTCTAGCACGCCTGCCAATATCTGAAAATGGAGCCGGACTGTTAACCATAGCCTTTACTTTTTTCGTGAAAGAAGTTTCAAGTCAAAACTTACATAACAAATTAGAAGCAGTGTTAAAACACACGTATTTCTCGCAAATTTTCACAAAAAATCCAAACAACAAAACACAGTACGGCCGAGCCACCAATTCAATTACCCACAATTGAAAAACAAAAAAACACACACACAAAGGTTAAAAACAACGGATATACAACAATCATTGCAGTAGTGTAACTTAAAATGAAGAGTCATAGATTAACCATAATATTGAAAATAAAGGAAAAAAAACTAATAAAGACAATAATTCAAATTCAAATCAGGAAACAACACATTAACTTCAATTCAATAATTAATAAACACAGACACCTACCCAAACATAGACACCTCACCGAATCTAACCGGAGATGACTTCTTACCAGTCACCCAATTGTCGGTCTCGTCAGCCCTAGACGGAGCAAATTCTCAATCGCCCTCGCGATTGAAGCCTTCCCAATGCCGAGGTTGCTCGTCCTTGATCCCCACACCGTAAGATCTGAATTAGCCGCCGATCTTGTTCTGATCGCTCCTCGACAGTGCGCAAACGAGGTACGGTCAGGAGGGCCAATAGCTTGTCCTGCGTCAGGCTCTTCGACTGGGTCGCCTCCTTCTTGACAAATTCAAGAAGGGTCTTCGTCTTCTTCTTCGCTTTGGTGGTAGCGACACTGACCTACGGGAGATCCGATTGAAAGAATGTTCAGTTGCGATGAATTAAAAGATATTATAGGGAAGTTAGATAAAGATATGGAAGTTAAAGATAAAGATGAATCCTTTTAATAAAATGTTTGAATTTAAAAAAAATAAGGATTATTAAAACAAAATGGTTTGTGATATGTCATGTTTCCTAAATAATTGGCTTACCAATTATTGAGATCCACGAATTCCACAAAATCGGTAACAGAATTGTAGTGAAAAATGGAATCTTATGTCCTCAAAAGCGTGTGAATTGTTATATATGGCAAAAAAAAAAAAGGAACACATGCGGAACAGATTTCCTAAAAATCCTCCGAATTGATTTCATAAAAAATCAATCCGATTTCTTGCTCCATCTCAAAGCATATCTTTAGACAATAGATAATTTAAAAAATCCAAAACTGATATATCAAACACGTGAGCACACAATCACATATAAATTAGCGTAGACAGATTTTATACTACATAAAATTAGGAATGATTCGGTATATTTTGCAAAAATTAGGGAATCGTTTTGATTACATATTAACAAAAATAAAATGAAAAAATCTAACCAAATTTTGAAAAGCGAATAAAAACAGGATGTATAGGATTTTAGAATGTTTCGGATTTTTAATCATTTTCACATTTTTTAAAGACTTTCCACAAATGGGAAGTCAAAGACTTGTTGACCAGTTTTTAAAACTTCCCCTAATTTATTGACCTCTTTTTTTTAATATATATAGATTTTCTATTTCAAAGCACCTTAACTATTCTATCATGACACTCACTCGCACTATTGCCTATTTATAGTCGCCCCTTCTTCTAATGAATGTATAGATCTACTATCTTTGCAGTCTTCCTTCCAAACTATTCTAACACCTATTAATATTATGTACTACTTATTAATATTATTTACAATATTGATGTTCTAATACATTAAATAGTTTTACTAGTAGTAAAAAATAAACTCGAAATATATTAGCTGTTATTTAGAATTTATTTGTATATTATTGTCAATTATGTTTAACTTTTTTTTATCATTTTTTTATTTTGATTTCTTTATATAATGAAATTTTTGTAAAATATATTTCTATTACACAGTATGCTAAATAAACAATAAAGTCGTATGATACAAATTAGAAAAATCTCTTGATTATATAAGGGAATGAGTTTTTGGCATTTGCTAAATCAAAATTGTTTAATTAGTATAAAAAATTAAATTCTAAAAAACACGTGTGTATATTTTGTAAATATTTATACACTATTTAATTTTAAATCTATTTACATAATTTAAATTGATTACATAAATAAACGTGTATTAAACATTTTTCATTTCACAAAATAAAAAGAAAAATAAGACGTACAGGTTCTACAACTTTTTATAATAAATAATGATATATGACAACAAAGTTTATAGTAAAATAGTAATTAAGTATTATATGGTGAACAATAATAATTAAAACTTTTATTTTCTCTTATATCAAAGAATAAATATATATACTAAAATCAAATTTATATTATTAAATGTTCTGGCTAAAAAACAATGTTAATTAAAAGAGATAGAAAACAGATGATTTAACTTTTATTTTTAGGCTTAAAGGGACAAAGTCTGGGATAATGACTCATTTAATATCTATATCTCGACGGCTACACATTAGTTTGATTGAATGATGCAAATTATTTTTTGAACCCTAATTGGATTGTTGAATCTTGTACAATGTTTGCATAATTAGACCCCTAGGCGAGAGTTTTTATGTATGTTTATGTACACAATAATGCCATCTTTCTTGTGATAGAATGAAATTGAGTGGGTCAAATTCTTTTTGTTTTACATAATTATATATTTATCTATATATGTATTATACTATATGAACAATTACATACCAAAAAATTACTTAATGTTGGTTCTTTCTTTCTTTCTTTCTTTCTTTTTTTCTTTCTTTTCAAATGAACCAAATATCAACCGAGTATATAAAAGAACGAATTGTTAATTTCGCAATACGCCACGTTATCATTTCGGTGATATAACCAATTGTAGGTGGCAAGAGGGTCGATTTTTTTTCCCCCTTTTATTTGTTTTCTAAATAAAAAACCAAAACCAAAAATAGACTTCTTGGGGAACGAGATAACTATTTTCCTAATAGATTTCGGTATTTGTTTTAAAAGTCTAAAATTGTGACACAAAACAATTTTAGGCTAATTAATTTCCTAATCTCACAAGATAACTTGTTTATTCAATTATATAAGTAAGCATATAAACAATTGGTGATCTATACTATACCACATCCATTCACATCTGGTGATACGAAATTGAGAAATATAAATATAGGGAAAGAGCGAAAGCAAAAGAATAACATCCAATGGAAAACCCTAACCTCGACGGCGCCGCTCAAACACCCCCAACCGACCAAGGCAGACACGAAAACACCTCTCCCCATCCATCCAATTCTTTCCTATTCGCGCCGTCGTTCTCCAACATTAACTTGCAACGGATGGCAACAAAGGTTGCGTACTTGCCGGAGTCGGCCAAGTCCGATCTGATCACCGAGGCTGCGGCTAATCACTCTTCCGTACTGTATGATCTCCTTAAACTCCTCTCCCTACCTTATCGCCAAACACCTCTGGTGTTACCCGGAAGCCTCTCCGTGGAGCCACGGGTGGTGGAGCTTGCACGCGTGGTGGCCCGGGACGAGAGTAGGAAAATCTACGTCCATATTCTGAGTGGTGAGACGAGTATGAACAACCTATATGGTGCTGTTAGGGAATTTGGGGATGTTGAAGCGCTGGGATTTTGTTGGTCTACCACTCTAGCTACGGTCAAGTATTTCGATCCCCGGGCGGCAAGACGAGCCATCGAAACACCTGTTGAGGTTATGAACAGGCATCACCTCCGATGGCACTCGCTCACCACGGTTTGTTCTATCTGCCAGAGGGGTGGTTTGTGATCCATCATTATTTGATTTGATATTATTTGTTAGAGATTTGAATATTGTTGATATGATTAGCGAGGGATTAGAATTTGATGCGCTGCTTCATCTAATGGAACATGATGTTCTACTTTATTTCTTCCTAGTTTGAGATACATCAAATGCTATGAAATGTGCTGTTTTTTGTTGTGAAAGTACTTATTTTCACTCTGAATGAAAATTCTACTACGTTGTTCAAACCATCCGTTTAACATTGCACCCCACATGGTGATAAGCAATCATATAGTACAGTCATGTTGTGTGATTCTATTGTTTGATCATGGTGCGATGATTACATTGTGCGACAAAACAGCACTATCTTGTGGTGTGTGATCATTGAGATCGTACCCTTTGAAGTGAAAAAGAAGTCTTTGGGTAAAAAGAATTATACTTTATTCTTGGGCGAAAAAGATGGCCGCACCACATGCTAATTTTTATTATGTTTGTCTGTTGGTATAAGTCGTAGATGGGATTGCAATTTGCAAAGACTGGAAAAGAAACACCTAATATGTGATGTATATTTTCAATTGTATGCCTTTTAGTTATACGAATTACGAAAAAGACAACCTAGCTCGTGTCATGGGTCATCCCTTTTTTGACGAGGTGTTTGATGCAAATTTATCCCTTAAAGTTGAGAGCCAAAGATGAATTGGTTGGGGAGAGTTCTTGCTCCGCTTAGAGAAGGTCACCTGCCGGTTGCTAGGCTTTGCTATCTTTTATATCTCAATCTTTTGGCGACCCTGACTCGTTTTCTTCGTCCTTTTCTGCTGTTGCTTCTCCTCCTCCTCCTTGTTTTCTTCCAGCATTGGCCTTTTTATTTCTTATTCACTATCCATTAGTACGAATCCCGTGCGATGCACGGGTAAGAGAAATTCATTAATATTTATACATTAAAAATGCTCATTAAATAGTATTTATAAATAAAAAAATATGGAATCAATATTTAAGACAATTTAGCTATATTAATTTATTTACATTAAAAATGCTCATTAAATGTTATATTTAAGACAATTTAGCTATATGAAACTTAAATTGTGCAAAATTACATAAAATATGTCTATTTAAAATTAGTACACAACCCGTACAGTACATGTAACTGATAATAAATTATATTTTTTTTCATTTCAAAATAAATTTCATTTTAAAATTTTTATTCAGAAATTCGATTTGACTACAATGTGATTCCATAAAATAAATATTTTTGTAAAAATTTATCATATATTTAAAATCTATTTGAATAATAGGTATAAATATAAAACTTATATTTTTCATTAATTAAAATGAATTTATTTTTGTACAAAATATTCAAATCACAAATTTAAGTAGGTGAGTATTTTATAAAATTGTAAATAATTGACTATTCTATTTGCGTTCAAATTAATATTGACCCGTAAGTTATGAATAATTATTTATTTGTCTTTTAATTTTGGAACTCAAGTTCAGACTACACAATAAATTATATATATATAGACATATATATATGTCGCAAGTTTCTAGATTTGTCGTCAGTTGTTTGATCGTTCAAATTTATCAACTAATTCTCTAGAATTAAATTATATATTTTAAATTGTATTAACCAATATTTGCTTAGAGATCTTTTTTATTTTCAAGAGGAATACATACCAAATTGTCGAATTATCATCATTATCTTATGGCAAGTTATTATGGAATTATTCTAAAATTGAAAATCATATCACCTTGATTTTGTAACAAATCAACCTAAAATTCGACTTTCATATCCATACCACTTATTTTGTTTTTAAAATTTCCAATCAGAAATGTAAAATACTGTAAAATATTGTACAGTTAGAATTACTATTAGCAAATATGTTTAGTATTATATGAAAATTAATATTTAGTATTATAATAATTTATCAAAATATAATTTAAAACACACATGTTGTGTATCTGCATATATATCAAAAATCAATTTCTTGATCAAATAAAAAACTTTAATGTTCAAATTTTTGCTAATTTTGTATTTAAAATGAAGGAAGGTTCGACCCATATTTATTCAAATTGGGCCTATTTAAGAAAAATATTCCGCAACAGAGACTAGCCATACACAATTCCAAATATACTTGAAATAAGACACAATTAGGCCCAAAAAAAATATATAAAATAATCAGTAACTGCTACAATTATAAACATCGTTTTTTTTTTTCTTTTTCTCTCCTACTTTTTTCTTATCCTCTTTTCTCTTTCTTCTTTCACTCTCCTGTTTTCCTGTCTCTCCTACTTCCCTTTTCTCATCCTCTTTTCTCTTTCTNTAACAAATCACCCATTAAACAACATAAAAACAACCTACAACCTACCTTCAAACAATAGTAAGAACTTGAAACTATGATCAAAACACACAATTTAATAACAAAGTATTAAAATAAATTAATAAACAAAAGTTCAATCAAATTTTCTAAATAGAATGAAACCCTTTTCCCCAATGCAATTAATGAGTAATTCACAAACATAAATAATCAAACAAATAAAATCATAACATTAAAAATTACCCATCATCTACACTGACCTAGACACGAAAATTGCCCCAATATATCCTTGAAAAATAGTCGTCCTGCTCTACATCCATTATTACAAAATTAAAAAAAATAAAACTTTTTATCGAAGAATAATCGTGTGTGCAACTAATTCTAATTTCGCATGGACTATACCACAATAACACAAGCAGAAAGAGCTATATCAACATTGTTTTTTGTCTCAGTAATCCATTTAATTCATTGCCTACACTTATAATTGTAATTTTAGGTCATAGTAATTGAAAACTGTATCCTCTCTCAATTAGAGAGAAACCTTCATAATAAAATACTCCATATTAAAAATATTCCACCTTTCAACAATTTCTCGAAACCCAGAAAGCTTAGAAGCAAGAATCAAGAAAATATCTCAATAATCAAATCACAAAACCTAAAAAGCAAAAAAATTAAAAAATTAAAAAAAAAACTAATCAACCAAATGAATTGAAGAACAAAAATGAAGACAACTCAAGCTACAAACAGTATCAGTCGATTCTTCAGAATAGTACCATCTGCAATGTTTCAAACAATAAACACAGGACGAGCCACGTTGCAATAGATCAACGATGTTACAGATTACAGAAATTTGTAAAAACAAAAATAGAAATCAATAAACAGAGGATAGCAGCAGAAATACCAGATCGGATACGGAGCACCACTAACTTGAGAAAATTCGATTAAAGGAAAGATGACGAGAGAAAAATTGTAGGATTATTGAATGGAGATTTTTCTTTGGGTATAGGGATTATCGGTTTTGAGAATTTGGGGGTGGTTATCTGGTTTTTCTAAAAAAAAAGAAGAGAGATGATGGTGGGGCGTGGTTTACCATTCGAAGAGAGAGAAAAAAGTGAGAAGATGTGGTTGAGGTATACAGGTAAAAGGAAGGAGTAATTTTGTCTAAATAATAAACAAGTGTATTAACATAAAATATTTAAATAGATAGAGGATGTCATTAATTCTTTTTAAAGCCAGTGAGAGGATGTCATTAATTTTGTCCATTGCAAATGGAGCTGGAAGAGTACAATTCTCCTGGCATAGTGCTAATAATGGACTAGATCAAAATGGCTCAATTAAATTCTAGTGCTTCTTCTATTAGTGAAGTTTCTAGAAAAAAAAAAAAAATCAAACGGCGCAATGCACCTTGGGTCGCTACGGAAACAGCCTCCTTGTATAATTACAAGGGTAAGGTCTGCGTACAACTGACCCCCCAGACCCTAACCTGTTGGAAATATACTGGGTATGTTGTCTTTGTTGTTGTAAAGCCAGTGAAAAATTTAAGCTCATTCTCACACATTAGTTTGGTCAAACGGTTGCTGTTAAGGAATGAAATAGACGATCCAGATTGATCTACATGAGGTATAAAAGTAAAAATTTTTCTTTGGACTCATTGTCACCAGATACTATTTTCACGCCGCAAACTACATCCCCTTTTCTTTCTTCGTGTTTTTCTACCTTCTTTCCTATTTTTGTCCGAAAGTGAGATTTCCAAATAAAATCTCATTCTTGATTTGGAAACTCGATACCACAGGCTTTCGTTGATATGTCTGTCATCTCGGCGAAGGTTTAGATATATTCGTCAAATTATGAAAGATTATTATTTTTCATTTTTTGACGAACAGATTCATTATTTTCGTATGGATCCATGACATTCAGAGAAAAATACATCAGGTATTAATCAACTAAATTCTATTTATATGTTTTTCTAGTTCTTAGGTCTTGATATATTTTAAAAATTCATTTGTATTGTGAACAATATTCTATGAGTCGTTGAATAGATGTAGTGTATGAACAGATTTTATGCTAATTTTGTGGCCTCTCTATTTCTAATAAACTGATATGTATACACATGCGATTGAATCCTTTTGATATTTGATATTACGACAGAAAATTTATTTTATTCTAAAATCATTGATCAATAAACAGATTGAACCTTGTTAATTTTTGTAATTTTGGTCTACAAATGATGTTTGAGTATACTCTCGAGTCCATTGCCTGTAAAAGTTGAGATTGATTTTTGATAAACAGATCTATAAGAACTTGCCTGCGAGATTATATTTTTTTTTCTTAATATTTAGTTTTTATATTTTTAAATTGTAATTTGTCAGTATTAGTATTTCATCTCTTTTATGTACAATGTTATCCTGCAAGGCTTAAAGTGTTGGATTATAAGAATATTTTATATGTTTAATTTAATACTTGCATGATATGAGCAATTCAATTGAATTGGGATGCATACGAACTCTATTAGCTTATAATATATTGTTGTCTGATTCATATTTCTATTATATATCTATAGTGCATTTGCTATTCGTACGTTCTTCATTTTGTTTCATAAAACCACTTGAGTAAACATTGAGTAATCTGATAAATATATTTTGATTTGCATGAGTAACATTGAGTTATATGGTGGATCCCTACCCATACAATGATTTGTTGGGACATTTTAGGAGG